GGTTGTATCCTGGGTTTTGTGGTTATATTGGCCATTTATTCATGTCTCCTTAGTGGAATAAAATCAGGGATGGGGTTGTGGTTGTGGGGGTTTGTGTTTTGGTTCCTAGTGGTTGTATCCTGGGTTTTGTGGTTATTATTTAGGTAAAAATGGGAGTTGTTTTTGGCTAATAAAAAAGGGCAGGGATGGGGGCTATAATGTGTGGTTTTGGACTTATAGGTTTGGGTTTTTTGTAAGGAAACATGGGCAGGAAATATGGCTAGTGGTGGGTCATGGTTTTTGGCTCTTTGTTGATGTTGTGTTGGGATTGTGAGGGATATCTTGCCAGGGATTTAGAGGAAGGCAGAGAAGGTTTTATTTGTTTATTAAAAGGCTTAAAAAAAGGAAAATAACACAAACAAAAGATTTTGGTTTGCACACCCTTATTTTTCGGCCAGGGGCTAAAATAAGAGTAACAAAAACTTTATTTTGAAATGAATTAAATGGAAAGGGGATTTGGATATTTAGGGTTGGGTTGGACGGAGTGGGAGTCGGTTTGTGGAACCCTTTGGCCCAAAGTTATTCTGGCCGCTTGACAATTGTAGTTTTTCGGGTAGTAAACCTTCCCAGTAAAGGGTTAGTGTTCTCTCCGAGTGTCGTATCTCTCGAGGAATGGACGAAGGGAATTAGTTTAATTACTCTAACTAGGCGAAGATTAGGATTGGTTTATGAAAGTCTTCTCGGAACGATTATAGAAGGAGCAGAGTAATAATAAATTAATTTTACATAGTATAAGTATAGATCTGGACCTAGGGTCAGGACATCATTTGGATCTATTTTATCATATTAAATTAACAATTAGAATAATAATATTTCTATTACTACTCATCAATTTCTAGATGTGTACTTAATCTGTTGCGCTTGAATATCATAGTCATTCGACTTACAATATTTTCTCGATAAATGGTCAATTAAATCTTCCGATATTAATTAACCAAATAAGGCAAGAACAATAGATTAACCATTCCAACATTAAATTAACATTCGAAATATATCACCAAACTAGTCCGGACCCAGAGATCCGGACCATAACTCATACTATGCAAACATAAATTAAAATAGCATTTTATTGAATAAAAAGAACTTACAACTTTCGTACAAGCGGAATTGAACAGATCGGGAGTAGAATTCTTCCAAAAATTACTCTAAAACTACTAAAATGCTAAACTAATACTTGGAATTGGGATATAAAGCTTAATTCCCGAAAATGGGAGTGAAAGGGATGTGTTGAATGGGGAGAATCGCGCTGTATTTATAGGACAGAGGCCGAGGCGTCCAAGTCAAAGCGTCCAAGTCCAGGCGTCCAGATCGGGACGCTTGAGCTGCTCCGGCCAACCAGGTTTTGCCACGTGTCTTCCTTGGTCTGCAATCCAGCCAAGGCGTCCAACTTGGCCAAGCGTCCAAGTTGGACGCCTTGAGGCCTTGGTCCGTTGCGCTTCGCAGCTGTTACGAGATCTTGGCCCAATTTCACTGATTTTCGGCCCGAACGTCGATTTTACCTTCTCGGAAGCTCGTTCAAGCCCGAAACTTGATCCTTTGATGATTTATTCCCTTTTTCTCAAGCATTTGAACATAAAATGGATAATTTATGATGATTTTATGTGGAATTCCATTTAATGACTCTTAGAACTGAAAATGAGAGTTTTATTCATTGAAATCACATTTTATAAGATGATTAAATACTATCTACGTGCAATAACGTTTAGAATATGACGTAAATGATAAGAACGAAATGGACTTATCAAATTCCTCACACTTAAACGTTTCTTGCCCTCAAGCAACAAATTGAATAATTACAAGTATAAAGGCAAATTAATAATTGTAGAGGGAAGGTTTAAGCTACATATTATGAAGGAAAGAAGAAATAAGATAGTCTTCAACCTTTTTGTTAAGAATGAATGAGGCTTTAGATTCTCACCCATATTGTTAGAAATGTAAAAGAATTTTGTCAAACCAATATTTTTTTACACCAACCTGAACAACCAAAATTTTCCAAACTTTCTTTGGGATAACTACATTTCTAAGAGTACTTTAAAGATCAAATAATTTTTGATGGCTAAATTAGAAAACATGTTCTTGCAAAAGTATTTGTCAAAGTGTAAGGGTTTAATTTTCTTTGGCATAACTTTGTCATGTTGACACGAGAAAAATTTATGACCTCATCCCGTGACATAGAACCACGAGATTTTTGGATATTCACTCTGGAAAGTCTCATCACACGACATAGAACCGCATGCTTTTTGACTCTAACACTCAAAAGGCCTCATCACGCAATATAGAACCACGTGCTTTTCGGCATACTCACCACGCCTCATCAATTGACATAGAACCAATTGCTTTTTGGCTAAAACAAGAATCTCGGTCTAACCAAAGTATGCTTCTGAAACATCACCCCTTATACTTTGAAAATAACTCTTTTTAAGAAATAACAAATACCCATAATAACATCAGCAAAAAGATTTTCAATAAAGCACTTAAAAATTAATTGATCTAAAAAAAACTCTTTAAAAATTGTGAATTTATCCCAAATCATTTTAGAAAATATTCCCAAAAAAGTTAGAGTAAAAATAGAAGTTTGACAAAAAGTTTTAAAAATTTCCAATTTTTACGGGTGATAACTAAAGATTAATTAATCAAACAATTAAAATTGATGACTATTCTATAAAAATCTTTTCCTAAAAATATATAGACAAAACAATTCCTAAACAGACCATTTCAACAAAGAACTCTTGCCTCCTCACACTTAAACGAAACCACGCCCTCGTGGTTTAAGAGTGTTATTGGTATTGGAGTTAATTGTTGAAATGCTCACATGCAATCACTAAGTTATCTAAATACTTTCAAAATTCAACAATGAGGATTGAAATAATAGATAACCATAACATGTAAATATGAAATCATGCATAAAATTTTCTCAAAATGGGTTTAAGAGTCATAATGTGAAATTCCAAAATAAGATCATATAAATATCCAAAAATGATGTTCTGAATGCAGTATTAAGAAATTAGGGATCTCACTATCCCTGACGTTTGCCTTGTTTAGGACCTGCCCCATGCTCAGCCTTCCTTGTTCCTTGTTCCCGGGTGTATTCAAGTATTTCCTCCACCTGCCATTGTTGCGTGAGAAGGAGCGTCTCCATGCTCCTTAAGCGAGAGTCTACAGAATCCTAGAATGCAAACATAGCCTGTGAAAGCTCGCGAAGGGTCATGGGAATTGTATGCTGCTCTCTGGGGCGTGCCTCCTCGTCCTCCTTATTATAAGCAATCTGGGTCAAGTACCGTGTCGACGGTCGGAACATGCTTGCGGCTTCTGGGAGAACATCAGGGACTGTCATACATAATCCTCGGGCCAGAAGTGTAACCATTGGTCCACACAAGACAAACTGGTGGTTGCAAGTTGATTGGGCAAATAGGAATCGAGCCACAAAAGTTGCCAGATTGACTGGTACGCGTGCTTCCAGACTCCAGAAAAATAGCATATCAGAATCAAACACCACGTCAGGGCCATGAGAACGGCCGAAATAGCTATGAGTCAATGCATGCTGTAAAATTCTTCAAGACGGACGCACCCAATTCCTAGCTATGCTTGCTCCACTGTGATATCGTCCATACCCGTGAGCTTGCCAGAACTTCCTCACATCGAACTCTGGATCCAACTGATCAGGCAGATTAGCGAAGGCCAAGCTCCGCGTTTCATCAAGTGTGTAAAGACCAATCAGCCACCCCAAGTCTGCCACAGTAAGGCTCAGAAGTTGTCCCATCAAAGTGAATGTGAGCTTGGTGGTGGAGGTGACTTCAGCTGTTGACTTTACTTCCTCTCCGTCATTGAGGAAGCGGGGAGAGCAAAGAAAACTCGATGGTGACTTCCAGGCTTGCTGGTGCTTGTAGGAACAGCAAGATCCTCCACTTTGGGTTGTACAGAAACTCGTCGATGTCCTGCCAGTGCCCTAGTTCATCCAGATAGGCAGGGTCTAGCACCATGGGAGGCTGGAGCATCTTCGTGTTTCCCCAAGTGAGAAACTTCTTCCTTGCTTCCTCTGAGTGCAAGGGGAGCTCTTCCAGGCTCTGTAATGTGCGGCGGTTTCCATGCGGAATCATCCAAGCAACATCCATCTGTAAAATAGAAAAACAAACAACGAGTAAAACCTTGCCCCCAACTGGTGCGGCAAGTAAAAACAAATAAAATAGGTTATTTAAATATTGAATGACGGGTTGCCTCCCGTTAAGCGCTTCTTTAACGTCCGTAGCTTGACGCTCACCCACTTTCTCCACGACTTTCCGATCCGAGAGTCATAAAGTTTGGCCCTTCTGACTCTCTTCTGATGCCACCCTGTTTGAATTTTTGCTCGGTCAAGGTCCAGGATCCTTGACTCATCCCTGCGGCTTGGTGGCAACAGGATATATGGAGGAGACTTTGTATAGGTGGGTGGGGGCGGAAGTCTCCTTAGTAGATCCACATCATTAGCCTTGATTGCGAAATTGATTTCTTCCTTATCTTCAATTGGCTGACTATCCATTTGTGGTTTGATGATTATGATCGTACCCTCCCCCATGGATGCGTCTTCAGTGTCACTTACCAGAAGTTCATCCCAACTCTTTTGGCTCCAACCATCGTTCGGGCAGACATAGTCGCACCCGTCAAGTAGGGAGTCAAAGAAGGTATGGTCTGAATCTTCAGATGAAGCATTATGTACACAGGTTTCTATAAGCGGAGTTGGCTTTTCCATGCAAAGTAATTCCTCGTCTATAGATTCCTGCTCAGACACTTGGACAATTGTATCTTGGGGGCAGGTAATGGGCTCTACTTCCTCCAGAACAGGTTTCTCTAGAGGTGTGTCTTCAACACAATTAAAGAGATGGTCGTTTATTGCCGTAGGCAAAACTTCCTCCTCCTTCTTTTCTTGAATAAGCATAGGTGGTTCTGAGTCAGGTCCCTCAGTTGGTTCCACCTTCTGTACGACTGTGCCGGTTGAGACTTGGCTTGGAGGGTATTCGGGTAACATCACCACAGTAGCCCCAGCAAGAGTTGTTATGCTCTCGGGTTTCTATGATGGTGTAGAACTTGGTGAATCTTCTAAAACTGGCACCTGATGGTTGGATGGTTCAGGGTTGGTCTTAGGTTCTAGAGCCTCTTTTTGAGCATTAACTTCCTCCAATTGTGGATCTTGAGATTGGAGGGAGCGTTTAAGCTCAATAGCCTTACAGAGATCATTGACTAATTTATCAGCTTTAGACTCGGCTTCTAGTCTCTCTCTTCGGAAGTCGTCCAGCATTTTCTGCATCATTTCTGATCCTTCGCATAATCTCCTTTCGAACTCCTTTTCCTTCCGGACTGATTCAAGAAGTTTTGCTCTTTCTCGAATTGCCACCTTGTTTGCTTCAATTTGTTCTTCAGCAAACAAGGTGTAGTCACGGCAGTAAGGTGGTTCGTACCAAGAGCCTTCAGCAAATAAAACTTCGTCGAAATAGAAGATCTTCTGCTCTAATCTTATTATTTCTTCGACGAGTGGATCAGATTGATTGTCGTGCATTGGCCCATATTGGTCATAGTCATCGTTATCTCCATGAGGTTCATAATAATTATCCCCATCAGAATCTTGGAATGGAGAATATCCAAAATTTCTAGACGGGGTATCATATGGTGGTTCCTCATGGTAGGGATAGTAGTCAGATCTATTGTTGTCTAGGTAGTCATCACCATATGGGTACTGATGTGGGTTGATAAGTCCATTTCGTTCTTATCATTTACATCATATTCTAAACGTTATTGCACGTAAATAGTATTTAATCATCTTATAAAATGTGATTTCAATGAATAAAACTCTCATTTTCGTTCTAAGAGTCATAAAATAGGATTCCACATTAAATTATCATAAATCATCCATTTTATGTTCAAATACTTGAGAAAAAGGGAATAAATCATCAAGGGATCAAGATTCGGGCTTGAACGAGCTTCCGGGAGGTCAAAAACAGTGTTCGGGGCCAAAATCACGAAACAGCCGCGAAGCCCAACGGACCAAGGCCTCCAGGCATCCAACTTGGATGCTTGGCCAAGTTGGACGCTTGGGAGTTGGACGCTTTGGCTGGATTGCAGCCCAAGAATGACACGTGGCAAAATCTGGTTGGCCGGGACAGCTCAGGCATCCAGATCTGGACGCTTGGACTTGGACGCTTTGACTTGGACGCCTTGGATTCGTTCCTATAAATACAGCGCGATTCTTCTCATTTTTATCATCCATTCTCAACCCAATTTCGGGTTCCCCTCTCTCAATTGCTTCAAATACCTTGTATATTAGTTTTAGTAGTTAGTTTGAAGTATTTTCGGAGGTTTTGATTCCAGATCTGTTCTGTTCCGCTTTACGCAGGTTGTAAGTTTTCTTTATTTAATAAATGCTATTTTAATTTATGTTTGCATAGTATGAGTTAGGGTTCGGATCTCTGGGTCCGGACTAGTTTGGTTGTTTATTTTCTTATATTAAATTAATGTTGGAATGGTTAGTCAGTTGTTCTTGCCTTATTTAGTTAATTAACATCAGAAGATTTAATTAGCTATTTATTGAGAAAATATTGTATGTCAATTGACTATGATATTCAAGTACAACGTGTTAAGTACAAATCTAGAAATGGATGAGTAGTAATAGAAATATTATTATTCCAATTGTTAATTTAATATGATAAAATAGATCCAAATGATGTTCAGACCCTAGGTCCAGATCTATACTTATACTATGTAAACTAAATTTATTATTTTTACTCTGCTCCTTTTTATAATCGTTTCGAGAAGACTTTCATAAACCAATCCTAATCTTCGCCTAGTTAGAATATTTAAACTAATTCCCTTCGTCCACTCCTCGAGAGATACGACACTCGGAGAGAAAACTAACCCTTTACTGGGAAGGTTTACTACCCGAAAAACTCCAATTGTCAAATGGCGCCGTTGCCGGGGAGTGGCACGGCATTAGTTTAATTTCTTCAGATTAGCTTGGGTGAAGATTGGTTAGAACGATCTTCTCACTTCTTTTTCACCAACCACCCGTAATAATTATTATGGATAACTCCAGTGGTTATTATGGTCCGCCTTCTTTCTACCAATCACCAAACCGCCCTCCGTTTCAACCCCACCAAACCTATCACCCACATCAGTACCCATACGATGATGACTACCAAGTCAACAATGGGTCTGACTACTATCCCTACCATGAGGTACCACCATATGATACCCCGTCTAGAAACTTTGGGTATTCTCCATACCAAGATCCTGATGGGGATGATTATTATGAACCTCATGGTGATCAAGATGACTATGACCAATCTGGGCCTATGTACGACGATCAACCTGATCCTCTCGTCGAAGAAATCATAAGATTAGAGCAGAAGATCTTCTATTTCGACGAGGTTTTATTCGCTGAAGGCTCCTGGTACGAACCACCGTACTCCCGTGACTACACTTTGTTTGCTGAAGAACAAATTGAAGCAAACAAGGTGGCAATTCGAGAAAGAGCAAAACTTCTTGAATCAATCCGGAAGGAAAAGGAGTTCGAGAGGAGATTATGCGAAGGATCAGAAATGATGCAGAAAATGCTGGACGACTTTCAAAGAGAGAGACTAGAAGCTGAGTATAAAGCCGATAAATTAGTCAATGATCTCTGTATGGCTGTTGAACTTAAACGCTCCCTCCAATCTCAAGATCAAATAAGGGAGATTAATGTTCAAAAAGAGGCTCTAGAACCTAAGACCAACCCTGAACCATCCAACCATCAGGTTCCAGTTCTAGAAGATTCACCCAGACCAGCACTACCACAGAAACCCGAGAGCATAACAACTCTCGCTAGCGCTACTGTGGTGATGTTACCTGAATACCCTTCTAGCCAAGTCCTAACCAGCATAGTCGTACATGAGGTGGAACCAACTCAGGGACCTGACTCAGAACCACCTATTCAAGAACAGAAGGAGGAGGAAGTTTTGCCTATGGCAATAAACGACCATATCCTTAATTGTGTTGAAGACACACCTCCAGAGGAACCTGTTCTGGAGGAGATAGAGCCCACTACCTACCCCCAAGATTCCAACATTCAAGAGTCTAAGGAGGAATCTACAGACGAAGAAATACCTAGCACAGAGGAACCAATAACGTCTATAGATAATCATGCTTCATCAGAAGACTTAGACCAAACTTTCTTTGACTCCCTACTTAACGGGTGTGACTTTGTCTGCCCGAAGGATAGTTGGAGCCAAAAGAGTTGGGATGAACTTCTGGTAAGTGACACTGAAGACTCATCCATGGGGGAAAGCACGGTCGTAATCATCAAACCACAAATGGATGGTCAGCCTGTTGAAGATAAGGAAAAACTCAGTCTCACTATGAAGGCCAATGATGTGGATCAATTGAGGAGACTTCCGCCACCACCCACCTATCTAGAGTCTCCTCCTTTTATCCTGTTGCCGCCGAGCCGCAGGGACGAGTCAAGGATCCTGGACCTTGACCGAGCAACAAATCAAACAAGGTGGCACCAGAAGAGAGTCAGAAGGGCCAAACTTTATGACTCTCGGATTGGGAAGTCGCGGAAAAAGTGGGTGAGCGTCGAGCTACGGACGTTAAAGAAGCGCTTAACGGGAGGCAACCTGTCATTCAAATAACTAAAATAATTAAATAAATTCAATAGTTTTATTTGTTAGTTTTTGAGGTTATGCTTGCCGCACCAGTTTTGGGGCAAGAGTTATTTTGTTTGTTGTCTTTGCTTTTGCAGATGAGAAAATTGTAGGGCATACCTTACAGTGGGAGCGAAGAAGATGTCTCACCTGGGGAAAACACAAGGTTTCTACAACCTTTGGGGCTTCTTGATCCAACAGTCCTGGTTGAAGTTAGCTACTGAGAGAATATTGACTTCCTCAGTAAAGTCTCTTTTTCTCTACTATGTTGAACATGATTTGGATACTTGATGATTTTTATTTTGGAATTTCACAACATGACTCTTAAAACCATTTTGAGAATATTTTATGCATTATTTCATATTTTCGTGTTATGGTTATCTATTATGTCAATCTTCATCGTTGAATCTTATAAGTATTGAGATAACTTAGTAATTGCATGTGAGCATTTCAACCATTAACTCCAATTCAAAAATACTTTTAGCCACGAGGGCGTGGTTCCGTTTAAGTGTGAGGAGGTAAGAGTTCCTGGTTGAAATGATCTTTTTAGGAATCGTTTTGTCTATATATTGTTAGGAAAAGATTTTATAAAATAGTCATCAATTTTATTTGTTTGATTAATTACTCTTTAGTTATCACCCGTGGAAATTGGAAATTTTTAAAATTTTTGTCAAACTTTTATTTTTACTCTAACCTTTTGGGAATGTTTTCTAAAATGATTTGGGATAAATTCACAATTTATTAAGAGTTTTTTTTAGATCAATTAATTTTTAAGTGCTTTATTGAAAATCTTTTTGCTGATGCTCTTATAAGTATTTGTTGTTTCTTAAAAAGAGTTATTTTCAAGTATAAGGGGTGATGTTTCAAACGCATACTTTGGTGAGACCGAGATTCTTGTTTTAGCCAAAAAGCAGTTGGTTCTATGTCAATTGATGAGGCTTGGTGAGTATGCCAAAAAGCACGTGGTTCTATATTGCGTGATGAGGCCTTTTGAGTGTTAGAGTCAAAAAGCATGCGGTTCTATGTCGTGTGATGAGACTTTTCAGAGTGATTATCCAAAAAGCTCGTGGTTCTATGTCACGGGATGAGGTTATAAATTTTTTTCTCGTGTCAACATGACAAAGTTATGCCAAAGAAAATTAAACCCTTACACTTTGACAAATACTTTTGCAAGAACATGTTTTCCAATTAAGCCATTAAAAAAAATATTTGATCTTTAAAGTACTCTTACAAATGTAGTTATCCCAAAGAAAGTTTGGAAAATTTTGGTTGTTTAGGTTGGTGTATAAATATTGGTTTGACAAAATTCTTTTACATTTCTAACAATATGGGTGAGAATCTAAAGGTTCTTTTATTCTTAACAAAAAGGTTGATGTCTATCTTATTTCTTCTTTCCTTCATAATATGTAGCTTAAACCTTGCCTCTGCAATTATTAATTTTCCTTTATACTTGTAATTATTCAATTTGTTGCTTGAGTGAAAGCAACGTTTAAGTGTGAGGAATTTGATAAGTCCATTTCGTTCTTATCATTTACATCATATTCTAAACGTTATTGCACGTAAATAGTATTTAATCATCTTATAAAATGTGATTTCAATGAATAAAACTCTCATTTTCGTTCTAAGAGTCATAAAATGGGATTCCACATTAAATTATCATAAGTCATCCATTTTATGTTCAAATACTTGGGAAAAAGGGAATAAATCATCAAGGGATCAAGATTCGGGCTTGAACGAGCTTCCGGGAGGTGAAAAACAGTGTTCTGGGCCAAAATCATGAAACAGCCGTGAAGCCCAACGGACCAAGGCCTCCAGGCGTCCAACTTGGACGCTTGGCCAAGTTGGATGCTTGGGAGTTGGACACTTTGGCTGGATTGCAGCCCAAGAATGACACGTGGCAAAATCTGGTTGGCCGGGACAGCTCAGGCGTCCAGATCTGGATGCTTGGACTTGGACGCTTTGACTTGGACGCCTTGGATTCGTTCCTATAAATACAGCGCGATTCTTCTCAATTTTATCATCCATTCTCAACCCAATTTCGGGTTCCCCTCTCTCAATTGCTTCAAATACCTTTTATATTAGTTTTAGTAGTTAGTTTGAAGTATTTTCGGAGGTTTTGACTCCAGATCTGTTCTGTTCCGCTTTACGGAGGTTGTAAGTTTTCTTTATTTAATAAAATTCTATTTTAATTTATGTTTGCATAGTATGAGTTAGGGTCCGGATCTCTGGGTCCGAACTAGTTTGGTTGTTTATTTTCTTATATTAAATTAATGTTGGAATGGTTAGTCAGTTGTTCTTGCCTTATTTAGTTAATTAACATCAGAAGATTTAATTAGCTATTTATTGAGAAAATATTGTATGTCAATTGACTATGATATTCAAGTACAACGGGTTAAGTACAAATCTAGAAATGGATGAGTAGTAATAGAAATATTATTATTCCAATTGTAAATTTAATATGATAAAATAGATCCAAATGATGTCCAGACCCTAGGTCCAGATCTATACTTATACTATGTAAACTAAATTTATTAGTTTTACTCTGCTCCTTTTTATAATCGTTTCGAGAAGACTTTCATAAACCAATCCTAATCTTCGCCTAGTTAGAATAATTAAACTAATTCCCTTCGTCCACTCCTCGAGAGATACGACACTCGGAGAGAAAAATAACCCTTTACTGGGAAGGTTTACTACCCGAAAAACTACAATTGTCATGGGTGATAGGTTTGGTGGGGTTGAAACGGAGGGCGGTTAGGTGATTGGTAGGAAGAAGGCGGACCGTAATAACCACTGGAGTTATCCATAATAATTATTACGGGTGGTTGGTGAAAAAGAAGTGAGAAGATCGTTCTAACCAATCTTCACCCAAGCTAATCAGAAGAAATTAAACTAATGCCGTGCCACTCCCCGGCAATGGCGCCATTTGACAGTTGTAGTTTTTCGGGTAGTAAACCTTCCCAGTAGACGGTTAGTTTTCTCTCTGAGTGTCGTATCTCTCGAGGAATGGACGAAGGGAATTAGTTTAATTACTCTAACTAGGCGAAGATTAGGATTGGTTTATGAAAGTCTTCTCGGAACGATTATAGAAGGAGCAGAGTAATAATAAATTAATTTTACATAGTATAAGTATAGATCTGGACCTAGGGTCAGGACATCATTTGGATCTATTTTATCATATTAAATTAACAATTAGAATAATAATATTTCTATTACTACTCATCCATTTCTAGATGTGTACTTAATCTGTTGCGCTTGAATATCATAGTCATTCGACTTACAATATTTTCTCGATAAATGGTCAATTAAATCTTCCGATATTAATTAACCAAATAAGGCAAGAACAATAGATTAACCATTCCAACATTAAATTAACATTCGAAATATATCACCAAACTAGTCCAAACCCAGAGATCCGGACCATAACTCATACTATGCAAACATAAATTAAAATAGCATTTTATTAAATAAAGAGAACTTACAACTTTCGTACAAGCGGAATTGAACAGATCGAGAGTAGAATTCCTCCAAAAATTACTCTAAAACTACTAAAATGCTAAACTAATACTTGGAATTGGGATATAAAGCTTAATTCCCAAAAATGGGAGTGAAAGGGATGTGTTGAATGGGGAGAATTGCGCTGTATTTATAGGACAGAGGCCGAGGTGTCCAAGTCAAAGCGTCCAAGTCCAGGCGTCCAGATCGGGACGCTTGAGCTGCTCCGGCCAACCAGGTTTTGCCACGTGTCTTCCTTGGTCTGCAATCTAGCCAAGGCGTCCAACTCCAAGCGTCCAACTTGGCCAAGCGTCCAAGTTGGACACCTTGAGGCCTTGGTCCGTTGGGCTTCGCGGCTGTTACGAGATCTTGGCCCAATTTCATTGATTTTCGGCCCGAACGTCGATTTTACCTTCTCGGAAGCTCGTTCAAGCCCGAAACTTGATCCTTTGATGATTTATTCCCTTTTTCTCAAGCATTTGAACATAAAATGGATAATTTATGATGATTTTATGTGGAATCCCATTTAATGACTCTTAGAACGAAAATGAGAGTTTTATTCATTGAAATCACATTTTATAAGATGATTAAATACTATCTACGTGCAATAACGTTTAGAATATGACGTAAATGATAAGAACGAAATGGACTTATCACCGCTCGGGTTGAAGGACTCAAGATTCTCACTAAAATGGATCATAATGTTTGAACGTGCATCCTTTGGTCTTTGCAAGGGCGTGGGACATGGGGGAGGGTATGATAGGGCTAGGCCCAGATATAACAACAAGTGAATCACTTTGATTTAAAATGGAATACAATATCCTAAAATGCCAGGCCTATGGCCGAATTTATACATACACACACAAGGGAGTACAATGGGGAACAAGAACGGGTTGTGACATGGGTTTTTTTGGCTATTTATCTTCGGCCAGGGGGTGGAAGGAAAAAAAAGGAGAAAGGACAATGTGGTTTAAGTGTCTATTTTGATATTTTGGGGGTTTGGGTTTTACCATGCTGGTTCGGCCCTAGGGTGGGGTTGGGTTCAAGGATATTATGGCTATGTTGTGTGGCTTGTTAGTGATAAATTCAGCCCAAAAGGGATCATAACACTTAGCCATTATTTCATTGATTTGTTTAACGTCTCTAGAATCCTTGGTAGTAACCCTGGGTATATCATCCTCCCGGTCTTCAAAAGAGTTTGTCCTCAAACTCGGCATTTCTTAAGGCTCGAAGTACGGACTAATGTCCTTGATATTGAAAGTAGCCGATACTCCATAATCTCCCGGAAGGTTAATCTTGTAGGCATTGTCGTTGATTTTCTCTAAGATTTCAAACGGGCCATCGGCTCTTGGCAGCAACTTTGACTTGCGTTTCGTGGGGAAACGCTCTTTCCGAAGGTGAATCCAAACAAGGTCTCCTGGTTGGAAGTGGACGTCCTTCCTTCCTTTGTTGATGCGTGCGCTTACCTTCTCGTTCATAGCCTCAATCTTCTCTCGAACCCTGGCGTGAAGGTCTTGGATTTCTTTTGACCGCTTATCCGCTTCCCAACTGTATTTGGTTTCCGTGATGATCGGATCAAGTTCAAGTGGGGTCAAGGGGTTCGAACCATAGACCACCGTGAATGGGGATAGTCCGGTAGTCTTGTTCAGGGTTCGGTTGTAGGCAAACTCGGCGTGCGGCAGAAGCTCCTCCCATTGCTTGATGTTCTTCTTGATGAGGGCTCGTAAGAGTGTTCCAAGGGTGCGGTTGGTGACTTCGGTTTGGCCATCGGTTTGTGGGTGGCTTGACGTACTAAACTTCAATTTAGTACCCAATTTTCTCCATAGAGTCATCCAAAAATGACTAAGGAATTTGGTGTCTCTGTCTGATACCATGCTTCGAGGAACGCCATGGAGTTTGACTATCTCTCGAAAGTAGATATCCGCAACTTGTGAAGCATCATAAGTGGTAACACATGGCACGAAATGGGCCATTTTTGAGAACCGGTCCACGACAACCATGATCGAATCTTTGCCCCGTTGCGTCCTCGGTAGCCCGGTGATGAAATCCAAGCTAATATCTTCCCATGGTGCACAAGGAACGGGTAGCGGCATGTGCTTTCCTTGGGGCAGTGAGTGACTCTTTGCTAGGTGGCATGTGTTGCAACGCTTGATAAAATGCTCGACGTCTCGTTCCATCTTTGGCCAGTGGTAATGCTCCTTCATCATCATGTGAGTCTTGTCGACTCCATAATGACCAGCTAGGCCTCCTCCGTGGACTTCTTCAATGAGGGTTTCGCGCATACTACATTTCGGGACGCACAGTAGGTTACCACGGAAGAGATAACCGTCTTTGACAAGAAAATCTCCATAGGGCCGAATGAGGGCACTTAGAATAAGTGTCCTTGATGTCTTCATCTTCCTTGTACAGCTCCTGCAAAAACTCAAAACCAACAAGTTTGGTACTAAGTACCGTTAGTAATAAATGCCTCCGGGACAAGGCATCGGCGCCCTTGTTCATGGTTTCGTTCTTGTGTTTGATGGTGAAGGTGAAGGTTTGGATATACTCGACCCATTTAGCATGCCGAGGTCGGAGTTTATGTTGCCCTTGGATGTATTTTAGAGCCTCATGGTCCCAATGCTCAAGTGACCGCACCAATGCGTAGAACTCCTTTCGTATGTGGAATACCTCCTTCTTGTGTCGTTTAGCTTCTCGCTAAAGTACGACACCGGGTGCCCTTCTTGGGATAGGACAGCCCCGATCCCAACTCCCGAGCCATCACACTCGACCTCGAATAGTTTGTCAAAACTAGGAAGGGCTAACACGGGGGCATGTGTTAATCAATCCTTGATTGTTTCAAAGGCTTGTTGGGCCTTGGAGTTCCATTCGAACTTCTGATTTTTCGTCAAGTCCGTGATAGGTGCCGTGATGGTGCTAAAATCCTTCACAAATCTCCGGTAGAAAGAGGCAAGGCCATGAAAACTCCGAACTTGTTGCATGGTGGTGGGGGTCGGCCATTCTCTAATGGCTTGTGTTTTCTTTTTGTCCACCCGTATGCCTTCACTTGAGATAAAGTATCCCAAGAACTCCGTTTCATGCGAAAAGAATTGGCTCTTTTCGAGGTTGCCGTAGAGCTTCTCCTCGTCCAACTTCTTAATCACCAAAGTGAGGTGATTAGCATGATCTTCTTCATTTTTTCTATAAATCAGAATGTCGTCAAAGTAGACAACGACAAAATGACCTAAAAACGGCTTCAAGACTTGATTAATAAGCCGCATGAACGTGCTCGGGGCATTGGTTAATCCAAATGGCATAACCAACCATTCGTATAATCCAAACTTCGTCTTGAATGCTGTCTTCCACTCGTCTCCTTCAAAGATTCGAATTTGATGATATCCACTCCTAAGATCAATTTTTGAAAAGATCTTGGAACCATGCAACTCGTCCAACATGTCTTCCAAACGGGGAATCGGGTACCGGTACTTGATAGTGATCTTGTTGACAGATCGACTATCGCAACACATACGCCACGTCCCATTCTTCTTGGGCACCAAAAGTGCCGGGACAGCACACTGGCTAAGGCTTTCTCTTACGAAGCCCTTAGCTAACAACTCATCAACTTGACGTTGAATTTCCTTCGTTTCTTCGGGGTTCATTCGGTATGCTGGTTTGTTGGGTAGGGCAGCCCCCGGGATGAGGTCAATTTTGTGTTGGATGTCTCGTTTAGGAGGGAGACCGTGGGGTACATCTTCGGGGAACAATTGAGCATATTCTTCAAGGATCGGTTGGGCTAGAGGATGTGGCTGTTTTGGGAGGACAGTAGGATCGGCTTCTCCATCTTCAAGGAGAATGAGGTCTTTAACCTCATGGAATTCATGTTGTTCAGCTTGTAGGATGGTGGAGATAAGGACAGGAGGGGGTTCTTGTGGCTGCTTGGCCGTGGGTGAAGTGGGGGGAGGGAGAGGTGTCAAGGTGATCTTCCTTTTATTCATCAAGAACGAATAAGTGTTGGCGTATCCATCATGTTGCACACGGTGGTCAAAGAGCCACGGGCGTCCCAAAAGTATGTGGCATGCATCCATAGGAATGATATCACACCATACGTCGTCCTTGTATGACTTGCCGATACTCAAAGAGATGAGACTTTGCGTATCAACACGTAAGCCCTTGCCATGATTCAACCATTGAATCGTGTAAGGCTTAGGATGTGGAGAGGTCTTCAAACGCAGCTTGTCTACCATGGTTTTGGACGCCACATTGGTGCAACTTCCGCTATCAATGATAAGCAAACACACCTTCTTTTGGACCGTACAACGTGTGTGAAAGATTTTTTCACGTTGCACTTGTTCTTCGGGGCAGGTTATAGCACTCAAAGTTCTTCGGATGACCAAGAGTTCTCCTTCATCAGGGCCAACATACTCGTCTAGTTCTTCAACTTCTTCGACTTCTTCTTCAACCCAAGTTGGGTCAAAGTCTTCTTCATCACACTCGACAATGGCCATCACCTTTTTATTAGGACATTCATTGGCATAATGACCTTGTCCTTGACACCGAAAGCAAACGGGTGCTTTCTTGGTGGGATCCGCTCGGGGTGTGAAAGAGGATGAGGGGTTTCTTGAGGTAGATGGGGTGGAGGAGGAGGGGTTTGGGCCGTGGGCAGTAGTGGGGTTCCTGGGGGTAGTATAAGGTAATTTTGGTGAAGGGTAAGGTGGTTTGGGTGTGGAGAAGTAGGGTCGTGGGGAAGGGGTGTTATTTTTGGAGAAAAAGGCTTTGGATTTCTTATGTTGAGCTTCAACTTTGAGGGCCAACTTCGTGAGTTCTTCTAGAGAATCGTAACTTTGCAACTCCACCGTATTGGCTATTTGTAGGTTTAAGCTGAATAAGTAACGAACAAAGGTTTGTTCGTCATCTTCTTGCAAGTCATATCTCAGCAAGAGCTCTTCAAACTCCCGGTTGTATTCTTCAACGGACTTAGAACCTTGCCTAAGCGTTTGAAGCTTAGCAAAATTCTCACGAACATATTCGGCGGGTAAAAACTTCTTCTTTAGAAGGGACCTCATCTTTACCCACGTGGACACCGGTTCTTTGTCGTTTCTTCTCCTCTTGGTGCACGTATTAGTCCACCAAGTTGATGCATACTTCCGGAACTTTAAGGCCACTATCTTGACCTTCTTTTTGTGGGAAACGTCTTTGAAGTCAAAGACGCGTTCCACTGTTTCTAGCCACTCGAGGAACTCGTTCGGGTCGTTCTTCCCTTCAAAAGTTGGAATGTCAACTTTGAAGTCAGAACCTTCATTGGCTTTAGGCTTCATGGTTCCACTAGAGCTAACGTCTTCTTCACGGTCACTTCCTTGGAGCTCGTTGAGTTTCATCTTCGTAAGCTTGGCTACCTCTTTATCCAAGTACTCTACTTGGGCTTTCAAGGCTGTATTTGAGGCAATGAGCTCTTCATGGGACATAGTTCGGGATTCATTTGACATGGTTGAAATGGAGAGTGGGTGAGAGGGAGTGTGGATTCTGGCCGTGGATTTAGAGGAAGAAAGAGGATGGAGTTTGAGCTTGAACAACTTACTTTTAGAGGCGTGCGAATGGTCCTTGAGGGATATGCAACACAGAGCTCAGATACCAAATGTTATACCTAAGCTCAGGTTTTTATAGGCACAATCTCTTTAATGGCAGGGGGGAGATAATCGATTGTCCTAGGTGGATAATCGATTATTAAGGGCTTCATGTTCTGGGGCAATTTTCTGGGGATTTTCTGAGAAGGGAGATAATCAAATGACAGAGGGGTGGCAATCGATTATCGAAAGTTGCAGCTTTCTGGGAAAGGCTGATAATCGATTGTCTGAGAATGATAATCGATTATTGAAGACTGCAGGTGTTTCACGAAGGGTGGTTAATCGATTACTAATAGTGATAATCGATTATTTGCCAGCTCGGGACAGGAAAAGAGGTATTTCTTTGGGAAGGGGGAACAAGCCAAGTTGGTGTTAAGGAATATTACACACCCTTATCTTAACTTGGGGTTGAGTCTAGCATTCAAATAAAATATAACACACTTATTTAAATAACTAGAATTTAAAACTCACACTCAAGAGAACCACTCTTAAGATACAGGATTAGGAATTTGGAATGAAACACACAAGTGAATCACTTTGATTTAAAATGGAATACAATATCCTGAAATACCAGGCCTATGGCTGAATTTATACATACACACACAAGGGAGACTACCAAGTCTCTTATTCACACAAATCAAAGATGGAATAATAGCCACTTATTGATGTACTTTTATTGGGGAGCAAAAACAGGGAAGGGTGTACTTGTGGGGTTGGGTTTTTTGGCCATAAGTGGGGAGAAATATATGTGAAAGTATCCCACTTATTTGGCTTGTTTGGATGGGAATATTCGGCCAGGGAGGGGGGGTTTGAATGAGGGAAAATGGCTGGCTATTTTGGAGGTTTTATGAGAGGAATATGGAGGGTACTTTGGCTGGTTGATTGGTGGGGATTGTGGACCCTTATGTTTTGGATTGTAGTTATTGTTTGGCCTGACTAGTTGGGGAGTACAATGGGGAACAAGAATGGGTTGTGACATGGGTTTTTTGGCTGTTTATTTTCGGCCAGGGGGTGGAAGGAAAAAAAAAGGAGAAAGGACAATGTGGTTTAAGTGTCCATTTGGATATTTTGGGGGTTTGGGTTTTACCATGCTGGTTCGGCCCTAGGGTGGGGTTGGGTTCAAGGATATTATGGCTATGTTGTGTGGCTTGTTAGTAATAAATTCAGCCCAAAAGGGATCATAACACTTAGTCATTATTCCATTGATTTGTTTAACGTCTTTAGAATCCTTGGTAGTAACCCGGGGTATATCAGCACACGGACTAAGGCTTTTTCTCACGAAGCCTTTCGCTAGCAACTCATCAACTTGGCGTTGAATCTCCTTCGTTTCTTCGGGGTTCATCCTATAGGCCGGCTTTTTGGGTAAGGCAGCCCCTGGGATGAGATCAATATTGTGTTGTATGTCCCGTTTGGGGGGTAGACCATGGGGAACATCTTCGGGAAATACTTGGGCATAGTCTCGGAAAATGTGCTCGACCAAGGGGTGGGGTGGTTTTAGAGATGTGAAGGGTTCTGCTTCTCCATCTTCCAACAGGATTAAATCTTTAATCCCATCAAATTCATGCTGCTTGGATTATAAGATGGTGGATATAAGGACGGGGGGTGTTCTTGTGTACTTTTGGCCATAGAAGAGGGTGGTGGTGGTAATGGGGTTAGGGTTATCTTCCTCTTATTCATCAAGAATGAATAAGTGTTGGTGTCACCCTCATGTTGCACACGATGATCAAATAACCAAGGTCGTCCCAAAAGTATGTGACACGCATCCATAGGGATGATATCACACCATACGTCATCCTTGTATGCTTTGCCAATGCTCAAAGAAATGAGGCTTTGCGTATCAACTCGTAAGCCCTTGCCATGATTCCGACATTGAATCGTGTATGGCTTAGGATCCGGTGAAGTTTTTAAGTGCAGCTTGTCCACCATAGTTTTGGAAGCCACGTTAGCGCAACTCCCGCTATCAATGATAAGAGAACAAACCTTCTTTTGTATGGTGCAACGAGTGTTAAAAGGTTCTCCCGTTGCAATTGTTCTTCGGGACATGCTATGGTACTCAAAGTCCTTCGAATGACTAAGAGCTCTCCTTCATCGGGGCCAATGCATTTATCTTGCTCTTCGTTTTCTTCCATGTTCTCTTCAGCCCAAGTTGGATCAAATTCTTTTTCATCACTCTTAACGATTTCCATCACCTTTTGTTGAGGCACTCGTTAGCATAATGACCTCGTCGTCCTTGACATCGAAAGCAAATGGGTGCTTTCCTTGTCGGGTCCGTTCTAGGAGGAAGAGAGGAGGAGGGGTTCTTAGGTGAGGGAGAGGGGAGGGATCCGTGTGAGGAAGTAGATGCATCCTTGCGGAACTTCAAGGCCACTATCTTGACCTTCTTCTCATCAGGGACTTCTTTGAAATCGAAAACGCGTTCCACCGTCTCTAGCCATTCTAGAAATTCATCCAGGTCGTTCTTTCCCTCAAAAGTTGGGACATCAACCTTGAAGTCAGACCCGTCATTAGTTTTGGCTTTGTTGGTGCTACTGGTGCTAGCATCATCCTCAAGAAATTCATCCGGATCATTCTTTCCTTCAAAGATTGGAATATCAACTTTGAAGTCAGAATGGGACTTTTCGTGAGCCCTAGTTCTCATGGTGACACTAGAGCTAGCTTCCTCTTCATCTTCACTATCTCGTAGCATGGACATCTTTTGCTTTGTGAGCTTAGCCACTTCTTTGGCTAGGTATTCCACTTGAGCTTGCAAGGTAGCGTTTGCGGCTACGAGTTCTTCATGAGACATGCTTCGGGATTGGTTTGACATGGTTGATAGGATAAGTGATGAAATGGGACTAGGGTTTGAATGTAGTTAGGCCGAATTGTTGGAGGGGGTTGGGGAAGTGTGTTTGGTCTTTGAGAGATGTGCAACAACTAGCTTTGATACCAAATGATGTACCCAAGCTTAGGAAAAGCTATGGATAAATAAGGACAGATTATAGAGAGGAATATATGGTGAAGAATAGGTTGGATTTGTGTATGAAATGGTGAAGAAAATATGGTTGTTTGGAAGAGGTGATAGGGCAGAATAAAGGGCAGGAGAAAAGCAATATTATGGAGTGGTTTTTGATGAAGAAATGAAGTGTTTAAATGGGAGAAAGAAGATGGACGAAATTAGGAGAGAAAAGGGAGTTCTTTTGTGGTTTTTATTGTAGAAGGATAAACCAAATAATGAATGAGAGATAAACACCCTCTTATTTTATTTGGGGCTGTTTCTTTTCACACAATAATATTCACTATTATTATATCAAATAGACTCCTAACACACACTCAAAAGTAGCCAACTTCAGAGATATTTCATTAGGAAATTGAGAGAATTAGCTTCACACCAACTCAAATATTACTTCAAAGAGTAAGGAAATGAAATACAATGAATGAATTTTACAAGGCCATAGGGCCGAAATATATAGGGAAAAACAGCAAGGAAACTTCACCACTCTTTCCTACAATTCAAGTGCATAATGTCTATTTGATGGATCCCATAGGTTGTCCTCATTGATCAAGGCTAAAAGGGTTCATGGTGGTGAAAATGGGCTGTCTTTGGGTGGGAAATTCGGCCATGTGAAGGGTAGGGTGAGGGAGTGTGTCATTTTGTCCATTTATGCAAAGTAAGGTATGTGACACGTCAAGGGATTGGTTGTTTATTCCCTTGGCCTTATTATAGGTTTGAGAACTGATTTGGGGGATGTTTGGGGGGAGGAATTCGGCCATGGGACAAGGAAAGTTGGGGGGATGGTTTTGAATGATTTTCACACCAAGACAAAAGACATGTTTAATCCTTGTCTCCTGATTTGGTCTTTTGTATTTTGTAATGGATTGGGATGAATGGAGATGGATTCTAAGGCCAAAAGGGAATGTAATTTCGTGGGTTTGAAGTAGGGAAAGGTGGGGGATGGTTTTATTCAAAGTAGGGAATACTAGAAAAGAAAACAACACACACAAAGCAATTTTGTTTGTCCTTGTCTCTTGGATTTTTGGCCATGGCTTCAAAGGGAGATGAATGACTTTATTTTGGTTATTAAAGGCAAATGAAATACTTTTGGATATGTGGGAGTGTGTTGGGCTTGTAGGCATTTCGGCCTAGGTTGGTTTTTGGGAGAGAAGTGTCATGGTTCGGGCTTTAATTTGGGACGGGTCACAATGAGTTCAACCCAAAATGGATCATAACACCTAGATATTAAACACTTGACTTGTTGTAATACTAGTGGCGCGTGTAAAGGTGCATCCCGGGGTATAACAGGCTCAAAGTGTCTTGGATTTTGTGGCTGTTTGTTTAGCCAAGTTGAGGTGTAAGGAAGTGGTAATGGCATGGTTATGGGCTGGGTTTTTTTGTCAGGGATGGAGGGAGGAAGGGTAAGGAAAAGAAATGTAGCTTTGGGTTTGTTATTTTGGATATTTTGGGGTTTGGCTTGGATGAGAATGGCTGGGTTTTAAGTGGGTGTTGGGCTCAGGGAAATTAGGGCTATGTGGCGGGGTTTAGGATTGATAAGTTCGGTCCAAAAGGAATCATAACATTTAGCCATTATTCCGTTAATTTTCTGAACAACTTTAGAGTCGTTGGTAGTCGCCCGGGGTATATCATTCTCCCCTTCTTCAAAAGAGTTTGTCCTCAAACTCGTAATTCTTCAGGCTCAAAGTGCGGGGTGATGTCCTTGATGTTGAATGTGGCCGATACTCCATAGTCTCCTGGAAGGTTGATTTTGTAGGCATTGTCATTTACCTTCTCCAATATCTCAAAGGGTCCATCGGCTCTTGGTAACAGCTTCGACTTGCGTTTCGTTGGGAAACGCTCTTTCCTAAGATGAATCCAAACAAGATCTCGTGGTTGAAAGTGGGCGTCCTTCCTTCCTTTGTTGATGCGCACGCTAATTCTCTCAATCACGGCTTCAATTCTTTCTCAAACTTTGTTGTGAAGGTTCTGAATTTCCTTAGATCTCTTGTCCGCTTCCCAACTATACTTGGTACCTGTTATGATAGGATCAAGCTTTAGTGGGGTCAAGGGATTCGAACCATAGACAATGGTGAAGGGGGATAGTCCGGTAGTCTTGTTCGGGGTTCGGTTGTAAGCAAACTCAGCGTGTGGTAGTAGCTCCTCCCAATGTTTGTTATTTTTCTTTATGAGGTCTCGGAGGAGAGTTCCAAGGGTGCGGTTGGTGACCTCGGTTTGTCCATCGGTTTAGGGGTGGCTAGATGTACTAAACTTGAGTTTAGTACCCAACTTTCTCCATAGAGTCATCCAAAAATGACGAATGTGTTAGGCCCGAATCGGGGGTCTAAACGAGTTGTTATTTTGAGAAGGAATTAAGGGATGATGCAGCTTGAGTTCAAGGTTCAGGAGCAGGTGATAATCGATTGTGGAGCTGTGCTGCTAAAACCTAGAAACTTCAAGGAAGGGAGATAGTCAATTATAAGTATATGATAATCGATTATTGGGGCTTGCAGCTTATTCCAAGGGAATTCAGGAGGGGAAGATAATCGATTATCTTTGTTGATAGTCGATTATAACGGCAGTTAGGATCCAAAATCTCGGTGGAAAATATGGCGGAGATGAAGGTGTTCTTTTGGGTGTTCTTAGTGGAAGAAAAGAGTAAGGTTAAGAGGAGAAATGGGGAGGTATGAAATGGAAGAAAAATCATGGATGGATAAACCAAGTTGGTGTTTAAGAGATATTACACACTCTTATCCTAACTTGGGGTTTGAATCTAGAATTTAATTAAGATATGACACACTTAATCAAATATTTAGAACCTAAAACTCACACTTAAGATAATCACTCTTACGATATAGAATTAGGAATTTGGCTAAAATAGCATCACACTATTTTATAAATACTCAAAGAGTAAAAGGGAGTTTTAATATTCAAAGCTTTTTTTACAATGTCCATATGGCCTGATTATATAGGCAGGGGAAGGGGGAAAACATACACTATACATTGAATGTGAATAAGAGGAAGCTTCCTAGCAACATCCACTTCAAAAGCATGGGGCACTCTCCATTCAATCCTGTCTCCTTAGTGGGATAAAATTCAGGGATGGGGCTGGTGTTGTGGGGGGGGGTTTTGAGCTTTGGTTTGTAGTGGTTGTTTTCCTAGGTTTTAAGGCTATTATTTGGGTAAATATGAGGGGTTGTGTTTGCTAAGAAAAGGGGTCAGGGATGGGGGGTATAATGGGTGGTTTTGGACTTATAGGTTTGGGTTATTTGTGAGGGAACATGGGCAGGAATGAGTGGCTAGTGGTGGCTCAGGGTTTTGGCTCTTTGTGGGTGTTTATGTTGGGATTGTAAAGTGTATTTTGGCCAGGGGTGAATGGAATAGAGGGAGGGTTTTATTTGTTGAATAAAAGGCTTAAAAGAAGGAAAATAACAACAAACAAAAGGTTTTATTTTACACACCCTTATTTTTGGCCATGGGCTAAAATAAGTGTAGGAAAACTTTATTTTGAAAGGAATTAAATGGAAAGGAGTTTTGGGTGTTTAGGGTGGGGTTTGGCGGAGTGGGAGTTGGTTGGCAGAACCCTTAGGTCCGAAGTTATTTGGCCTCTCAGGTTGAAGGACTTGGAATTCTCATTAAAATGGATCATAATGTTTGAATGTAAGTCCTTTGGTTTTTGCGAGGGTGTGGGACATGGGGGAGGGTATGATAGGGCCAAGCCCGGGTATAACATCCTCCCGGTCTTCAAAAGAGTTTGCCCTCAAACTCAACGGATAATCAAGACCGTCATATGCACTGAGGACTCTCTTATGGAACGTGGCAGAAACTCCATCACTTCTACTAAGGGCAACCATGTAGGCATTGTTAGTGACCTTGGCTACCACTTCAAACGGACCATCGTCTCGAGATTGAAGCTTTGTCTTGCATTTTCCAGAGAAATGCTCTCTTTGCACATGGACCCACACTAGGTCTCCGGGCTGAAAGTGGATTGAACTTTTCAACTTCTTTCTCTTCATAAGCTTTTCATGAGTCTTATGATAAAACTCGGAAGTTTCTTCATCGCATGGAACCTGCAAAAACTTAACAAACTTGGCACGAGGTACCGTTAGTGAAGATAGCTTTTGAGGTGAGGCTTCCACATCTTGGCTCATAGCTCCATGTTGAACCTTCTTCTCATTAACTTGCATATTTAAGCTAGGAAATCCACAGCTTAAGAACTCATCTCTGGTGGCAACAACATCCTTCTTCTCTAAATCGCCATTGGGTTTGTTTTCACCTAAACTTAGATGAACCCGGGGTTCTATCCCTTGGTTAGGTGCGGTCAGGGGTAGGAATAAGCATG